CCATCTTGTCTTGGACAGATATTGCACCAAGGGCAGCATGGACATTAAAATTAGTAGGGGTGTGCCTTAAATGTGCTAGAGTAAGAGCCCACTGAAATGACAATAACCTGAAATAATATAACTTGAAATGACGCTGCCTCTTTCTGTGAGACCACCGTTTGAAGCCGTACACCAGGGGATAAATAACTGTTTATCAGCCTGGATAAGACAGTCAATCCAAGTTCCCGCGGAGAAGAAACAAAATCAATAGTTGTGTGAAGAATTATGGTAATTTAAGGCTAAAGTCTTAAACAAGCATTCTCTTTAACACATTGACACACCTCCTGAAACTCAATATAACATGGAATGAGGGACATACTGTAGCCATTTGGGAATAGCTCAGTAAGTGCAGCCTTTGCATGTTTGTCCTGTTTAGACGGGAGTTCCTTTTAGACACCTATGATGATAAAGAAGCATAGCACAAGGATTTAAACTGCATGCATGCAGGACTTGGGAGAGATTTGAGCCCACTACTCAGTCGGTGCTACTGTATATTAAAGCTATCCGTTACAGCGGTGGGATATGTTGCAGGCAGGAAAAAGAAGGTGACAATCCACTTGCTGCTCCAAGAGACAACAGGGTTTATTGGGGAAACTAAACATACAAAAGGAAACCAGGCAGAGTAGCACAGAGACGACACCTGATACAACACATAATACCATCAAACAGTAACAATACACAGGGTAACCTTAACTGATCTACATACAATGACTGACTGGAGAACAGAGCAGGAGCAGGTACTTAAATACACAGGATTAAAAAGACAACGCAGGACAGGTGAGAACAATCATGAAGCACAGGGAAACAGGAAACAGGATCTAGTTAACTAAATCATAGAACTATGATAGAGGCGAACAGGAAAACTAGGAAACAGAATCAAACACTAGGAAAATAACAAAGACAGGTACTGTAATACATACTGTAATTAAGGGCACAAAGCAAAAACCACAACAGAACGCAAAACCACAAACTAGGAACAAGAAAACTAATACAACAGAAACACTAGAGAACAAAATCGAATGAATACAAAAACAGAGGCGGCTGGCCTCAAACTCACAATTAAAGAGTTTACAGCCACATGCTCAGCCCATAGAACCATGTGGCAGTCTAGAGCACTAGGGAAACACACTAAGGACTTGGACAACAAGGAGGACAGGAATGTGCAGAAGACGCAAAAGGTTGGGGTGGACGGGTGCTGACCCTGACAGTATCTTGTTCCCCTGCTTCATTCCCTGCAGACTCACTGCAACCCGTAGCTGGAGACGTGGTTACGAAAGACTGAATGCATGGATATCTGTCAATTTATATGTATTTAAATATATATACTTACAGATATCCTTAAATCACTTTGAGATACTTCTTAATGACTGCAAAACACTATATGGGGTTTATTCAATATTTATTGCAAGTCTACTTAATAATAATTACTTACACACAGACATGCACGCGTGCCACATTATTGTAAGGCCTCTATGATGGACTGCTTGGCACCATTTCATCCGTAACTATTTTCTCTCAGGGTTTTGCAGGTGTCATTTATCAGGTTTAAGAATAACACTTTATTTACCTCGATCATATTTTCTACCTGCTGTGAAACCACTTAACATTTTGTAATGACAAAACCCTTTGACACTTTTGATTAAGCGCCTGCTCTGTAGCATGTGGTGCCAAACTCATAGGTCACGGATTCCCTATGACAGAAAATCAAAACCTTAAGCTAATCCTGTTGTTGCTGGTTGAAGATTCGAGCCTGCCAGATAAGGTAAAAACACAGAAACATACCGTGAGCTCACAGTATATAAGTGCTGCAAATGGAAGTTAGGGCACCCGCAAATTCTTAGGAAGGAAGCCACGTTAGAGGTGGTTTTCTGTGCAAGCACAAGGGAATGCTGCACGGACTTCTTATTTTGCAATAGTCTGAGGCTGATACTATACAGACTTGGAATAATGTAGCCCTGTTGTTATGTACAGCTCAAAGTTTGCTCAATGAACTTAGCACTGTTTGCAACAGAAGTTCAAAGAGTCACTGACATTCATTCATGCATCAGTAATTCATTGAATAAATCGGGATTATTTTTAAGTGAACCACTGTGGGCTCCTTATCAAGCACTTAGCCGAGCAGAATGGCGCTATGGAAGACATGCAGAACTAATTGCAGCTAATCATCTTCAGTGGAACATGAAGGAGTCTAACTGAAGCCCAGAGCTGACTGAATGAATGTTCCGTTTGACTCAGTGGAATCCTGGTTTAGGCTTCTCCTTCCGCATTGCTGTAAGTTAACCGCATGTAATTAGTCATGTATCACTGGAGCTACTGAGGGAAAATTCTCTCCATGTCTCTATACTGTCTTATACTATCCAGGGCTTAAGGTTGTTGAATTATTTTCTCCTGTTTTCCTTGTAGAAGCAATTTGTACTCTTCTGTCTCTCAAAACTTTTGTTAGTGTATATCAGGGGTGTCAAACTCCAGTCCTGGGGGGCCGGAGCCCTGCATTTTTTTGGGTTTCCCCTCATTTAACATACCTGATTCAACACTTCGCAACATTGCTAATTACCACCCAGCTCTTGAGTGAAATCATTTGTGGTGGAACTGGGAAAGAACTAAGCTAAACAGGACTCTGGCCCCCCTGGACTGGAGTTTGACATCCCTGGTCTAAATGGATATCCGAGTATTGCATTAATCTCTTATGAAAATTATATAATGTAAGCCCTTGGCACTTTAAAGGACATCTACTGGTGTAATATACATATAGCCACTTAATTTAACAAATGGAAACTCCATAAAAGTACAAGTAAATGCACCACCTGAAAAGGGACCAGGACAAAGGATGATGAATTTGATGTTGGTAGAGCTACTACCCTACTGTTCTGGCAGAGAATGTGTTGGGGAAACTCACTCTTCCAACCTTCGGTAAATAGGACGTCTGTTGTTCTGTGTCTGTTCATCCAACTAAATTTAACTAAAAGATATGAGGCAGATACAGTCAATCTTAAATGATAATTATGAGTCAGCATAGATTCCAAACCCAAGGCATTTGTACAATTTTTCAAGTTTCAAAGAAAATATCTATTGTATTGTTGTAGCATAGTATGTTTATACTTGATGATGTCATGGTTTTATATATAATGAAGTACAATACTTTGCAAAGGTCTTAGACAAAGAAAATGATTTTAAAATAATGATCTTCATGTTGGTGTAAAACTATGTTATGTCTGTCAAAGTGTGTCAGCTTGGCCGTTTCAAAACCTCTGAAGTCACCCAGGAAATTGCAGAAGTCATGCAATGCACCCATGCATCTTTTGACTCGACCACTACCCCACCTCGCCTGGCTAATCAGTACCTTATTGAGTTATTTAAGTAATAAAACTAATTAGTTAAGAGAGCCGGTGGTGAAATTTAACAAATACATGGAATGGCTGAGGTGCCCCTGAGGAGAGGTTTGGGAACTGAAGCGGTGTTCATCTAGCCATGCAACTAGATATCAGTAACTTTTTGGAGGAATTGAAGAAATTCTGCTTATTTATATGTGCTTGTTTATTTTTAACTGTGACTGTTAACTTGCACAAGTTCTAATGTTAAATTGTGTTTATTTTCTGAGCAAATATACACTTACTACCCAGATAAATAGCCTTAAACATTTTCTTTGACTGCCTAGAACTTTTGCACATTACTGTATGCAACTGCAGAGACCTGTCAAGATGTGTAAACCAAACGAGGGAGATATTCACCCTTAGTTCCTTTCTTAGCATTTGATGTTCATCTAGTCTGAAAGGAAACAGCCATTTCTATGCTATAATGCATGCCAATCCAGTTACCGTGTTGTTGGTGTATCAAAGCCTTTTCTTTTTTTCTGCCAACTATGCGTCTAGAGACAGTGGTTGATGTCTTGTACTGCACATACCCAGCAGTATCAGCTTGACGCTCTTTTATCCATAGAAAGGAAAGAATCATTTGACTGAGTTGTAACTAAAAACAGAATGTGCCCCAGTGACTGAAAACATCGGTTGGCAAACCAAAGAATGATTCCTCAGCCACAGCTGACGTCTCTCGGAGGGCCGTCTGCCCGTGCGCTTGAGTATTGCTTTGCCTAAGTTTATAAACCCTGTGCCAACTGAAAACAGGCCAGCATGTTTATTTTTTGCGTCTCTCCCTTACATAGTTAATTTCTTTGGCTTTTGCTTGTGGTTGATGGGGTGCTATTTGGCAAAAGAATAAAAAAACGCCCACTTTTTTTCTGTGATAAAAAAGAAGGCCGTAAATTTAAATCCAAACCAAGAAGACTTTAATGAGGCAGAACGCAGAGATTGTTGTACAAGACAAATAAAAGAAGTTAATTTTGTCTGGCTCAACGTCATATATATGCCATCAGATCACATGCCCATTTTAACGTGTGTTTTTATTTTTAGCTTATTTATTCTAACACATTGAGGGATTATAAACACCATCTTCTAAACGAAATAAAGATAAATTAAGAATGTTAGAGTCAAGCTGCAAGACGTACAGTAGAAAAACCTGTGTTTTTGCTGTGCTGAAGTATCTATATGTCTGTTTAGAGATGCATCCTGGAACAACAGTAGCACATATTTTCTTTACAATCATTTATGGTTATTGAAGCTAACTGATGTTTAAACAAAATCATGGATGATTTTGTTTTGAGGTAAAAATGTCATTCATTTTTCCCTACCTTTATGAATATATATTGTTCAACAACATATATGTTTTTTTCTTTGCTGGCAAGAAATTCAACCAAAACTCATAGATATTCATGTTAGACTACAATATATTTGTGTCTCACTTTGCGAACATATTGCACTGGTTTCAGTGTATAGCTTTTATGATTTTAATATGCTAAAGCAATCGTCTTTTTATTTTAGGCTTGTGAGATTTACCACCATTTTGTACCGGCTGTGTAAGGATGTTTATATCACTGGTACTGCTACTGATCCTGCCGTTTTTGCAAGGAAGAGAGGATGAAGATGACATCAGAGCAGGTATGATTGGAAAATTCATTAAAGCTATTTATTTTTTATTGCTTTAAGCAATTTTCTTGACTTACATTTATGCAAGTAAGTTGCAGTCTCTTGTCTCTTATTGCCTTCTGATGCCATTTTTGCTGTAAGAAGAACAATGCAACAGGATGTCTGTTTCTGGTGTGTAGGCTGCAGCACCGCCGTGAATGACCTGGTGTACATCATCGACGGCTCATGGAGTGTGGGCCACACTGACTTCGCCACCGCTAAGCGCTGGCTGGTCAACATCACCAGCAGCTTCGACATTGGCCTGCAGTACACCCAGGTGGCCGTGGTCCAGTACAGCGACACACCCAGGCTAGAGATCCCACTGGGCCAGCACCAAAGCAACCAGGAGCTCATCGGGGCCATTGGCACCATTAGCTACCTGGGTGGCAACACGCAGACAGGCCGGGCCATCAAGTTCGCCACCGATCACGTGTTCCCCTCCTCCAGGCGCACCCAAGCGGTCAAGAACCGCATCGCCATCGTGGTGACGGACGGCAAGTCGCAGGATGATGTGGTGGATGCCAGCGTAGAGGCCAGGGCCCAAAACATAATCCTGTTCGCTGTGGGTGTCGGTAATGAGATCACAAACTCTGAGCTGGTGTCCATCGCCAACAAGCCCCCGTCCACGTATGTGCTGTATGCAGAGGACTACACCACGATGGATCGCATCCGGGACACCATGGAGCAGAAACTCTGCGAGGGTGCGTTATCTGTGAGAAATTCATACATACGCTTAATCTAGGAGAAGAATGAGATATATGGTTCTCTTGAATAAACTCTCATGATGAAGTTGAACCCAAGATTACAGTGAAGGCAAGAAACGAACATAAATAATCTTTATCCTGAAAGTGTTGGTGCAAAGAACAACTTTTAACTTATAAGAATCAGTGTTTTTTCCAAGGACAGCTGAGACTTAAATAACTCCCTTGCATTTCCACATTATATAATAACTGTTGTTTATTAGTATTGTTTTGCATCCTAGAGTCAGTGTGTCCTACGCGGATTCCAGTGGCCTCGCGGGATGAGAAAGGGTTTGAGTTGATGCTGGGTATGAAGATTCATGAGAAGGCCGAGAAGATTCCGGGCTCTCTACTGTCTGAGTCAGCCTACCAGCTGAACCTGGAGGACGACATCACAGAAAGCACTAGGTGGATGTTTTCAGAGAACATTTGGTTGGATTACAGAGAATCCTGAATTAGAAGTAGGTGAAATCAGAGGGACAACACTGCAAAGAGCAGATAACATTGGAGAGAGAGGGAGAAGGAGAGAGAGAAGGAGAGTACTTGGTTTGATTACATCCATTACAAAGGATGCAGAAAACACCAGGAGGTTACTTCAAAGAGATTGCAAGGTCAGGGTTATCACAGAATATTGGGTGAGTGACTTAACAGAGAACAGGAGAGTGATATCAAAGAGCACTCTACTGTTTGTGGGTAACATTACCGAGATCATGGGGTGAGGCAGATCACACGGAACATATTACCGGTTTGTCCCATTCAGCACACTTAAGGCCAAGTGGTCTGAGATGCTATACATTGTGGTGACGTATGTTGACGTAAGAAGCGAAGTGCACAGATATATGTATAGAGCCCAAGTGCGCAGGGATTTCTTGAAACCAAGGGGGCACACTTGATATCTGAAGAGGTAAACAAGAGACATGCTACAACAAAACTGAAAATCCTTTGGATGCATGTTTTGCTCTGATAAGTCAGCCGACTTCCTTGAGTTTGATGCACATTAGTCGTCACTCTTGCGGTGCATTGTGGTCTGTATCCTTAGCAAAAGTGTGGATAAAGTACATGCATATTTTTCAAACAGGACACCCTTGAGTACTTGCACTAAGCGCATGAACGGGCATGTCAAATGTGGTAGTGTGTAAGTGTGGACCAAGTGGGACAATTGTGAGAAAGCCACAATCTCTAGTGAGGGAGATCACATGGTGAGTCATGTGACAGAATGCATATGGTGAGTCATGTGAGAGTATACAGAAATCATAGAAAACACCACATTATGTGTCCACACATTTATGGGATAAAGTGATATTTTATAGCAAAGCTGTTGATATTAGTCCTGTTAAAGCCCAATGGGCAAAATAAACAGGACACAGAAGGGTTGGCTCAAAACAACCACAAAGCATATTTCTAAAGATAATTAAAAACAATTTGCTATACATCATATCTTGGGAGAAACTTTAGCTGACATAAGTTGAAGGCTTCTGAATTTATATGGATAACCAAATTTATGATTTATTTAGCAGCTCATCTGCTTTTTGTTTTGAATATTATTCATTTAGGGAAATCTTTCCAGAAGGTCTTCCTCCATCCTACGTGTTTGTGGCCACTCTTCGACTGAAGACGGCAAGAAACCAAGCGACGTTTGACCTCTGGAGGGTGATTTCCAAAGATGGGGTCACCCAGGCTGCAGTGACCCTCTGTGGAAGAGAGAGACATGTTGTCTTTATGACCACGGGCATCGCTAGTGATGAGCAATCTGTCATTTTCAATAACAGGGACCTCAAGGTTAGTGACATTGACCTGTGATGCTCTGTCCTGAAAACTCAGCAGACGAGTGTTGAGTCTTGAAAAGATTTACAATAAAATGGAAGAGTTTTCTTGTGACTGTAACTTCTGAAGGGCACACAGCAGAAGTCAGCTGATGGGTAATATCCCTCTACCTTGATCTCCTGCCAATAATTTCTTAGCATAAATAATAGCCTTTTCAACCTGCCATTAATGTTTCTCATTAGTTATCCTTCTCATATGCTTAATGGATTGGAATACACTCACTATCACGGGCAGGAACGTTATTATGATGGTGCAAAGGCGAAATCTGGCCTCCTGACCCCTTTTCATATTTAAGTTAATTTTGAAACGTTCATTATTCCATTAGACATCATCAGAGTAATTTGGAGAGACGGGATGGCAAAAGTTACAGTGCAGGCAGACTTTCCATTTTTCCCTCTGCACTCATGCACAGGGAGGAAACTTCGGTTTGGCAAAATATAAATTCGATATTTAATACCCGTGACATTGCAGCCCGGTTGAAGGGCACCTGAAATACACTGACAGACAATGTGTAGAAAATCTGGTTTGCACGGGAAATCCAGTTTAATATCGAGAGATTAATTGCGGACATCAAAGATGATCTATGCGTTAGGTAAACTGTTTTCTCGCTGAAATAAATCTTATGCTTGTCGAGAGAAGCTGTTAAAATGAGCATCTGTGAATCCAAAGTCATAAATCAGTATGTTTCACATCTTGGAAACTCCCATGTAGTTAATAGAAAGAAATCTTAACACAAAGTTTAATATCTTATGACTGATTCCTTGTAAATTATTTATAGCAGATGAAGGTGGTGGTGGGGTGGGGGGGGGGCGCGTAATCCTTATGCACCTTTGATATTATTTATGTGTGACAGTGTTTCAGTCTGTTTAAGTAAAGACTTCAGTTCACTGACTTTAAATGAGTATCTCCACTTACCCGGCACATATCATTGTAGAAATTAGCATTACCCATGAGTCACATAATCACATTTAAATATTATTTATATTATACACTTCATCCAGATGAATGGAAGTGGAAAGGCACTTCTGGAGAGGAGGGGGTGTTTTACTCCTGGGTCATGTGCAATGCGTGTTGGCGTTTTATCATAATGTTTCATGCATACATTGAAAGTTGTATATTTAAAATGCATTTAAATGTACATACACACAGGAGGGTGGGGGGTAGCAGGGGGGTTTGCTGGAACAGGCTGTTGAGTAGTTGCCTCAAATGCCTCCGCTCTTCTGGAACCTTCTAACAGAAGCTCTTTGATGGAGGCTGGCACCAGCTGAAGCTCCTGGTTAAGCCTCGGCGCGTCATCTGCTTCCTGGACGACGTGCAGCTGGAAGAGCGCCCCCTGGAGCCGGCTGTCCCCATCTACATCAACGGCAAGACGCAGGTGTCCAAGAAGGTGCAGAGTGAGACCACAATTCCAGTAAGTATGGCGAGGGGATGATGTCTCCATGCTCCTTCCGTCAGCAAACGTTTCTGGATTTATGTGCAGGAATATACAAAGAATGATAAAAGGAAATGTAGCACAAAATGAAAAGCATTTTGCATATAGCGCCATCATAGGTGTGATTTTGCTGGCCTGAGTATTGGGGGGAATTCTGGACCAATCCACCAAATTTGGTGTTTCTACACCTTATGGTCCCTGCTCCCCATATTGTTATAGTGCATAATAATAATAATAATAATCCATCCATTTTCTGAAACCCAACTGGGGTCACGGAGCCTATCCCGGGAACAATGGGCGCAGGCGGGAACCAACCCTGGGCAGTCGCCAACACACTGCAGGGTGCCCACACTCACAGGGCCAATTTAGACTCACCAATCAACCTGTCTTGCACGTTGTGGACCGTGGGATGAAACCAGAGGCCCCGGGAGAAAACCCAAGCGAACACAGAGAGAGTGTGCGAACTCCACACAGATAGGACCTGAGACCGAAGCCACTGTGCTACTGCAGCGCCCAGTATTATTTTTATTATTATTATTATTATTATTGTTAATAATATTAACAACAATAATAACAACAACAATAATAATAATAATAATTGAAGATTCATGATTGTTTATCACAGACATGTTATGCCAATGTATTACCTAATATGAAAAATCCTAGCAAATACAATAGGGTTCCAGCCCTAAATATTAAGGAATAATTTCTCTCATAGGAATCCTGTTATTCAGCCCATATGCATAGATTTAAACTGCAAATTATGACGTGACTTTGCTTTCAAAATATGTTTAGATTGAGATACAGAAGCTGAGGCTTTACTGTGACCCTCTGCAAAGCGAGAGAGAGACAGCATGTGAAATATTCTCTGTGGTAAGTTGTGAAATCTGCACCTCGATTCCTCACCCCTTCAAAATTATCATGCCAATTAGGAGTTAAGTTGCATGGCTGAGATTTGCTTTGTTTTCACTGCTCCAGTAAACAGCTCTCGATGCTCTCAATCTCCGTCATGGCGCGGATTTCCTGAAAAATCTTTCTAGCATCTCGGCTTTGATGTCCACCATTTGTTGTTCCCCAAAATCCCAAAATCTGTACTACTGCTGAATGTCTGATGTGGTCTCAATGCACCATGGGAAACACCCTCACATCTCATTGGGTCCTGATGCCTTCATCTGTGGGGCTTTGGTGATAGAAAGTCGCTTTAATTTGTGTAATAGGAGGTTATTATTCCAAATGTTCCAACATATAAAAGTTTTAATGGGGCACCTTGTATTTTGTGGGAGAGTATTAATTGTGTTTTTGTTTCCTATTATGTACATTATGTACATTTTAATAACAATAGCTAAAACTTTAGTTGTAATTTAGACTTTATATTTATTAAATGTTTCCAGCAATTAACTAAATTGAATTTAAATCAAATAAAGGATTGAATACAGCTTGAAATTATTTTCTCAAAATATGTAGATGATGCAAATTTAGTTTTTTAAGCATATTATAAGAATATTCACTGCACCAGAATATGGAAGCATTCCCCAACAGCCCAGTAGGTCTATTCTCTGTCTGTCTAGTACTAAAATGGTCGAGAGACTGTTAGAACAATAGAGAAACATATTGACACTCTTCTTACATGCTATACATTTTTTACTTCAGCTCTTATATAGCTTTATACTTTTCATTTATTTAAATGTCTTTTATTGTCCTAAAACTCTTTGTAGTTGTAAATCTGTGTCCCATAAATGTTTCCCATACATAAGTGTCAGGGTACCAAGTACTACGCACGATATCCGTGAAACACAAATGGAAATGATTGTGCTGGTAACCATATCATGACATGATCTAGCATATTATTATTATTATCTCATGTGCAGTACAAAATGTCTTAATTGTCTGTTTTGTTTTTAAACATATATTATTAGGACTGTCTGGGGAAATAACAATGACTTTTCTTATTTTTCTTCACAAAGGATGATGAAAGGGTAAGTAGAGTCGTTCCTGAATCAGAACTGCTGTGGTCACATGATCATTATCCAAGACAAACTAATCAGCTGACATCGGGCTTCGCGTTCAGTGTCCTCTTGACCGGTCACCCAGTGAGGAGGACTGCGACTGTCACACTGGTCCCCCTGCCCCCCCCGGCTCCCCTGGCACCCCTGGTCCTGTGGTAGGCTCCCATATTTCTTTTGGCCGAGTCTGATTGCACATGAATGGACACAGGTCCATACGGTTCCTGTTACATTCATTGGCAGCAATTGTACAGTTGGGCTTGTTTCATCCTTCCCAATGTTTTCTGAATGGAAATCCTGGCAGGGAATCTGTGCTCAGTATTTATACAGAAGGTTCTTTAACATTCAAATGTCATGGAAGCAGTATTTTTAACTTTTCCAGAGAGATGTGCACCTTTTACTGTTAAATAGGTACCAAAGTCTTGCTCCAGTTTGTATTTTGTATTTTTGTATTTTGTCATATGTCCTTCGATGAGGTTTGTACACCTCCTGGAAATCCATTACATGAACGTCGTTCAGGTCTAGGACTCCACATAAAAACCAAACTTTTTTTTTTTAATCTCCTCAGGGTCTTCCGGGAGAAAAGGGAAAGGCAGGACCCCCGGGCCCTGATGGTAAGCCTGTGAGTACTGCCCCCCATATTCAGACATGTTTAATGCCCTTTCATCCTTTCTTTGTAAATGACATTTAATGACCTACATCTTTGTCTTTAGGCAGGGATGAGGTATCTGATTTGTACTTTTTCTTACGTTAAGCCAAACCTCCTGTGGTGATTGAAAAAGCAAGAAATTTTTCTAGTTATATTTTAAAAATTGCATTTCGTTACGGAATCTCTATATAATTCATGATCAGAAATGAATTTTGACATAGTTTGAAATGTTTACGTAAATAATTATGTATTACCTGGTGTGCATTTCAGTCATATAGTCTCAGAAACCTTTCAGTGAAATCTAAACAAACAGGCAAACGAATTCCTTCCTGCAGTATCACACAACACCTGGGCTTCCTTTCCGCTGGCACTTACGGTGTGACCTGTCTTTTGATGTGATCTTTTGACAGATATATCCGTTTCAAAACAGTTTTATCTTCTAGATGTAAATTAAGTAAAACTGAAAATGTGCTGTCAGGCTTGGCCTTATTCTTAAAAACTGTACCACTTAAGGAACAGAACTTGCTCATTCAGGAAAAGCCAAAACCAGTATGAAAAGAAAGACAAAACCCTGAACTCTAAAAACAAACATATACAAATATGCTGCTTCCGTGCTTCCTCGCTTATCCTCCCAGCTGATCCGTTTTAAAATCCACCCAATCCATTCATCCAGTGTGAGCTACAGTAGCTGAATTTTATAAATCTGCCAGCACTAGACTAACGCTCAAGGGCAATGAAAAGTTACCAGATCCAGCCCTGATCTATTGGTAATCTTCATACTGGATCATAATTTGTTCAATGTGCTTATGCAGGGCAGTCGTGGTGAACAGGGTCTGCCGGGAAACCCTGGGACGCCAGGGCCGAAGGTATAGAACCCATAACCTATGTTTTGTCCTGCGTGACAATGTGAAATCATTGGCTGTACTTTCCCTCATTGAATGTTCTAATAGACAAACAAATATTGTTTTCAACTCCTTTGTAGGGTGGCGCAGGATTGCCCGGGTCTAGAGGACACCCCGGCCTGAAAGGTGACAAAGTAAGGTGTTATACTTTTTGAATATAGCGTAGAAAGAGATGAAATTTAAGGGAGCTCAATACCCAATCAGAAAGCAGAACTTTGAATCTCCCAGGATTCTTGAAGTTTGTCATGTGATTTCTTTTGTGTTGTTTTTTACGCAGGGTGACAAAGGAACACCAGGCTTACCGGGAAGCCCGGGAGCTCCAGGACCGATGGTAAAGGCTCGCCATCTCCCCTCTCTCATTTCTCTGAGTTGGAGTAAGGCAGTGAGCTACTTGGATTATCTTACATCCATGAATTCTGCAGGGGTTCTTGATCAAAACCGATATGTGCAGATCTGAGATCAATAATCGAAGGAGAATAGCAGGTCAAATCAAAAGATATCTTATTTTTAATGTCCATATTCACAAAATGTTTCCTTTCAACTGAAGGGCCCAGCTGGTTCACAGTTACTTTCAGGCACTGTGGGAAAACCAGGAGAAAAGGTACGAATAAACAAAACGTGCACCATGACCCTGCACTGGAAAAATGGTTTTGGAAAATAGATGGATGAACGGATGGTTGGATGGGCCTAAAGCATGTTATTAAGACCACTGGATTGACTTCAATTACAACAAATACATTTAATCTGAAACTTATCTCAGGAACTCCAAAATCTGTTAATGGACATATGGTTGGAAGATGGATGCTTTGAACTTTTCAGACCAAGAAAAATTTGAATTAGGAATACAGCTAAGTTGCCAGTAAAAAAAACCCCAAAAATAACCTGAGCAATCACGAGTTTGATCGACTGCACTGCTTACGTAACGCACTTATCATAAGATAAAATTAATTCATTTTTTTAGGGAAGCCAAGGAATTAGAGGAGCTCCAGGTTCACCAGGTCAACCAGGACGGAAGGTATGAATGATACCTATGTTGTGGTGTTTAACTTGTGATGATACTTCTGGTGTTTCCTGGCTTCCTGTTCTGTGTCGTCGGAGTTGTTGTGCTGCTTGATACCTTTTATTGTATTGCCTGGGCTTTCATCACATAGGAAAAGAATCACTGATGTAAGTAGGTCGTAATTTATCCTGTAAAGGACGGAAAACATGAATCATCCTTCTTGAACAATTTATTTATCTTGCCTGGCATCTATTTGTTTCATTAACAGCTGGCATATAATAAGAAATGCGGAGAAATTAAGAAAAATGAGGCATGAAGGATGAAAAGGCTCAGTTATGCTGTGCTGGAATAATCACAGCAGTGCGGGAAGTTTACTTCATGTAATTTAAATGTAGCATAAATATACAGCAGTTCTGTGGAGTAGCTTTTCTTTGTCTGTTGATATTGTTTGCTGAGTGCGAAATTCAGCAGCGTAATATCTAATAAATGTTTTGAACAATCCCCCCAAAATCATCCAATGTTCAGAATAACACTTAATAACATTTTTTGTTATTATAAAGTTTATGCTGGACGTTTTGAGTAAAATATTCTGGGTAATATTTTTTGGGTGTGCGTACTATAAACAAACAATAATAATAACAGGCTGGTCAGATGGACCAGAACAGCTGAAGTTAAGCATTTAGAATTTCAGGACCAAGGTCATTTGTGGAGCTGATTTTACTTAGAAATGGTAAAATGCAAAGCTGCCAGTTACATTATTTATGTCATTAGGAAATCTCTCTGTTGAAAATGTTCAATTTATGATTTTATAATTAACTACCGATATACAATTTCTCTATATTATGCCATTAAGCAGACAGGAATTCTCCTAGTATTCTGCACTTCATAGTAATCAGTAAACTAACTGTTAAACATACTGTACTCCAATTCTCCAATAGACATTGTAACCTGGTGTGTTTGCAAGCATTCTGCAGACGGGACAGTCAGGGGGGGGGTAGCTAGGAATTCTGGGCTGTGGAAAAATTTTTTTGGCTTGGTTGCCCAGCTAGGGTTGCCACTCTCTGGAGAAATATGGGATGTCACTCCCCAAAAATAAAATTTGCTGAGTCGGGGGTGGGGTCCCCAATGGTAAACTTTTCACGTTTATTGTAGAATTTTCCAGAAGCGTATAACTTATTTGGTGTACTCATGGAACCATGTAATGCTGAGCCCCCTAAATCTGCCAGGGTATCTGTGCCCCCCACCAACACCCCTGGGGGCAGCCCAGAGTGACTGGGTTTTGTGTGAATTACTCTTCTCCTTCATGGTATATTCGTTTCCTGGGTGGTCAGCTGAGCAGTTGACCATGCAGCTCCCTCTGAAAGCCTCCCATTCACGCTGGATTGAAAAAGCCCTGCAAAGGGTTTGCTGACAAGCGATGTCGGGATATGGAGTATGATAGCATCTGCCGTGCTTAGCAGCGGCGTGAAACATGTCACGGCTCAGGTGGCTGCGGCTAATCAGCACATGGAAAAGTCCTGTTACGCTCATCCGGCGATGCTGGTCCTCTGCTGCTCCTCCACTCACGCGTGATCCTCCAGAGCTCAGCTGGACTGTTTTATTCATTCTCTACCCTCCAGGCTTCAGCGTAGGCAGGAGTTGGGGGCTTAATTATTATAATCATGCTTGTTTTGGCTGGCGAGGGGAAGAGTTTAGCATTAAGTAGTGCAGTAGCCCATTTTTTTTCCCTGAAAAGGTTTATTTTTCTTTGCAGGGGGAGCTTGGGGCCCCAGGTAGAGATGGGCTGACAGGGCCACTAGGGCAGAAGGTGAGTGATTTCACTCCTCTTACAGAAAACAGGACCTGAAACCGGAAGAATGATTTTCTATTCTCTAAATTGTCAGAGCATTTGTATACAGACAGGAATGTCATAATAATACATCAGGGATGAATTTGTATGTTTCAGTAACAGTCACCCAACAATGAGAATTTGTCTGTACCAATCAAATCAAAAGTACATTGAAATCCATTCCAGATCCTATTGCTCCTGTACACAAACTTAATATTTGTTTTGTTTTATACTTCCACTAAGTTTGTAATAATTAAACGGGCTAACTTGGATTTGCTTATCTATGAATTACATTAAATGATGAGCAAAGAATAAATTTAATTTGTCCATTCTGAAATGAATGGGTTGTTTTAATCTAATTTATCAATTAATTACATTTTAATGTCATAGAAAAATGATGTTGAATGGTACAGACTTAACTGTTTGTTTTAAGACAGGGATGTCAAACTCCTGGGCTGGGGGGCCAGAGACCTGTGTAGCTTAGTTCTTTCCCAGTTCCCCCACAAATGATTCGGCTCAAGAGCTGTGTGGTAATCAGCACAAGGAGTTGCACGGAGGTAAATCAGGTGACTCAAATGAGGGGAAACCCAAAAATGTGCAGGGCTCCGGCCCCCCAGGACTGGAGTTTGACACCCCTGTTTTAAGAGAACGGATATACTTTAAGTCAAAAACCTTAAACCTATTTAAACTTGCTTGGAGTGATTTGGTGGGGTGTGTGTCATTTAGTATTCCCAGTTAATTCCCAGCTCCAGGATGCTTCAGCTTACTGGAAGGCAGGGGCTGCTGCCAATGGCGTCTTACAGCCGTTGCTCATGAATTCTTGCTGCTAACTGCGCAAGAGAAACGCCTGTGACCCACAATGTCACCCCACTGTCTGATCATTCCTTATTATTTCCCCCAGTGAGTATCTAGCTAACACAAGAATTCTGGTAGCTTTAAAAAGCATTAGCGTAGGACAGTGGTTTTATTATACTGATTGATTCGTTCATGGTGAGTAGCTGTATTAATTAAGCAGAAAGTCAGTAATAAACGACTGTCTGATATTCCAGTCGCTTAGGTCGGTGCTCATATTTTACTGCATACCGTATATATAAGTACTCTGCAAGAGTCCTAGGCAGTCAAAGGAAAGGTTTAAAGCTATTTATCTGGTTAGGAAGAGTGTATTTGCTCAGAACACAAAACACATTTTAACATCAGAACATATGGAAAAAAACACAATTAATACTCACTGGAATTTCTTCTGTTCTCCAATAAGTCAGAGAGGTATTGATTAGCCATATGAGGTGAGCTAGTGAAGTCAGCAGGGGTGCATTGGATGATTATTGTAAATACTGGGGTGACTTTAGGAGAGGTTTTGAAATGGTTAAGCCAACAGACCTTTACAGGCATAATGTTATAGACTGCCTAAGACTCTCGCACAGTATTGTATATATCTGTAGGAGCCATGTTTGTGGATCACGTGACATGTGACTTGGGGAGGGTAAATGGTCAATTACCTGTTCACAGTTGTTCATTATTCGAGTTCATTATATGTCTGCTAACCATGTTGTGTTAAATGTGTTAAGTTGGTATGTTTATTCACGTAAACACATGTGGGCTTTGGGCTCAGTGCAATAGGTGCACATATGTGCATATTGGGAATGAAAGACAAAAGAAATGTCAAAGGTTAATAAATTAAGTTATCACTATCAAAGAGTAAGTTTCTCCAAAGAAGAAAACACGTGTCAAGCAGACTCTGCCTGCATCAGCTGCACCGTGGCACTACTATAGGAGTAATATGCACAACAGTCTCCTTGGAAGTTCACTACCCAGTTTAAAAAGCTAAATATTTTCATGTTAGCCCACATTTTCCTGCATGCTCCTTCTCAGTTCTTATCATACTGGTCCCTTTAATTTTTAGTTTTCTTTCCATAACAAGTCATTTATCCATGTTGCCTGAATATGCCATACAGCAGGGATGGCCAGTCTTATCCAGAAAGGGCCGTTGCGTGTCTGGATTTTCGCTGCAGCTCCCTAATTAGATTACTAATTAGAGGACTGATTGGCTTAAGAGTCCTCACACCGGGGTTTGAACAGCTGACCTACAGGTTATCCCAAACACCTGCACTCACACTGGCCCTTTGCGGATAAGATTGGCCACCCCTGCCTTACAGTGAACCCCCATATTACAGCCCATGATCAGAGAGAACAGAGCCTCTACTCTTTCCTTTATGTTTAGAGGTGCGTAAAGGCTCCCTGAGCAGAATGAAGTCAAACATATGTTCAGCACCAGGGGCATCATAGGGGCAGGGATACCCTGGCAGATTCATGGGGTCCAGCACTTTCTAGGGGCTTCTGAATATATATATATATGAAAGATATAATATGCGTGGAGAATATTATTCCACCACTGTGCAAATTCTACCATTGGGGGACTTTTATTTCTTAAGATTGACAGTGGCGACCCTAGTGGGGGACCCAAGGTGACATTTCGTCATGGGGCCCAGAATTTGTAGGTCAGCCCCTGTTCTGTATCGCAAGGTATAGTGCGTGTGAGAGGTCCTGTGGTGTGACTGGTGGCCGCTCTCTGAGCGTGTGGAGTTTGCATGTTCTCCCTGGGTTGTGTAATTTTCCACCTGCAGTCCAAAGCCATGCAGTTGGCATCTCTACGTGCTGCCCGATTGTGTGTGTGCGTGTCTGTGCGATGGGACGCACTGGCATCCCATCCAGGGTGTAGCCCTGCTGGGCCCGATTCTACCTTTGCAAGGGACCTAGGCAGAGCTTACTTGGGAGGCCTCCCTACCAAGAAAATGGAAGTTGACTTCACTTCCTCCACAAGCCAGGTCATTTGGGGGCCCTAGACAACGACCTATTCTGCCTGTAGCTAGAGTTGGCCCTGACCCCGGCCTTGTGCACTGCGCTGTCTGGGCTCCAAAGCCCCATCATGCTGACCAGCATACGTGGTTAGAAGATGGATGGATATGCTTAAAAAACAATATGGACTTCCCATTTGAACTGTGATTCAGTTGCTGTTTCAATAAAAATAAGTTTGTGTAGTTCTTAGCTATTTAAAATGAAATGTAGCTGCACGTCTGACAGTGAAAAATGTACAGTATTATAAAGGCAGCCTTAAACAAAATAAATTGAATTAATTTCCAGAACAGTGTAGAGAGACCTTTGTAGGCGATTCTGGGTCTCCCAGGAGGCAATACCCCTTAATCAGTAGTTTTTAAGTGGGTAGCTGAATATTTATTTTTTTGTATAGCACTTGTTTATTATTAAGTGCCTGTTAAAAAATGTTTACTTTGCTTTTAGGATGCTGTCGTCATTGACATTGTGGAAACACCGATTATACTTGATTAATTGCAACGTTTTCTGACAGATGGTGCTTTGGAAAATTAACAGACTGTAATTCCTGCCCTGAAGGCTTCCACATACCCATATTTGCAAAGAGTTTTTGGTCAGTATTACACCATATGCATTATATGATAGCATGCATTACATTCTCTGCTAATCATCTTCGTGTTTTTTTGCATTCCCTGCTTGCATTCATTAATTCCCCATTCCGCCAAGCTAATTGCGGGTCACAATACGCACCTTATTAATATATCAGGATTAAACCTTCACACAGTGTTTATCTTGCAGACTCGCCGAGGCCGTGCGTTACTTGTTAGCGTGGATATTATCGTTAGCAGTAGCCATGACAGCATCCAGCTCTCATCAGGCACTTCGCTATCAAACCTAATCAGAAGGGCAATTAGACTGAATCAGCGGTAGAACACTGTTTACGAAAAACGTGCATCTCATAATGGCACCGTCGTTCAGGGAATTACAGCCCGCACGTTAGCTAACTGAATTATGCTGTTTTGCATGGATAAGTGGTTATGGAAAATGAACTGATGGATGGATACATAGTAGGACGAATGTCACTTGTTCAAATAAGCCTTTGTGGCTAGTATCCCAATATAATATTTCACACTTGAGCAGACTTTCTGAGGTCTGCTTGTGTTGTATCGTCACTTGTATTTCTGATATGGATTCCAGAACATTCTCCTGCTTAGACAGAGTAGCAAAGGAAAACCCAAACATGTGGGCTTATTTCCTCGTTTTGTGCTGAACCAGCGTTCTCTGCATGGTGATCTTCTTCCCAGAGCTGCTCATCATGCTTCTCTTAGCTGTGTCACCGTCAGGTGAGCGGAGCCTATCTGGTCCTCCTCTGTCCGGTGTGTCACATCTCCGCACAGCTGGCTCCTATTTGCACAGTCCTTGGCGTCTCTCCTGTTTACACGAGAGCTTCATTCACATCCTGTGTGGTAGGGAAAAACAGGCCACTATACAGGAACCGTATTAAACTGTATTTAGTTCACTAGTTAATGGCATAATAGTTAAATTGGATATTATTTGTTAGCTTAACTCTGGAATTAGGCAATAAGTTCATAAAATGCATTGCTTGTGGAAAAAAAATTAATTAATCTTTAATTAATCTTCCAAATATTTATCCTAGATGGGGAAAGGGGAGGGTATGAATCTAATCCCAAGCAGCACAGGGCAGGAATATACCCCGCATGGGATGCCTGGTCATCACAAGGCAAACAGACATTTAAAGACACATTAGGCTTAAAGCATGTCCTTGGACTGCAAGAAGAAACCCACAGAAAGCACACACAGAGTAGAAGCATGATGTAAACCCCCAACCAAGGAGGTGTGATGCAGCAATGTTCCTGATATGTCATCCTTCATGATGATTAAATTGATCGATTTCAACATTATTCGAAATTCAGGATACGATTTGATACAACTACAGAGAATGTACAGGTCAGCTCCATTTTCAGGCTGAACCGTTTAGCCCAGAGCAGTGCCCAAACTGGGTGAATAATTAACCAGTGCAAGATTTGATGTGGCCAACGAGATGGGAGCAGTTTTATAGGGGCGGCGTTTTGGTGCTGCATGCCGATGCCAAGTACTCTAAAATTCACACACAAAAGCACAGCAGTGGATTCAGCTGTGAGCACTATGTTTCTCTAGACAACATGCAATCAAGAGGTCTGAAGTTACACACAATTGACTGTAAAATATAAATGAAACATGCTGGCTGTATAAAGAACTCGTATTAAAAGCTAATCCAGCTGGTATAATGTAATAAAGCTTTATTAAAATAAAATCAATTGTAGCATTATTTCTGCTGTGAGGTCTTAAAGTCAACAACTCGTACGCTAGGCCAGAAATGAGAATGCAGTCCCCTCATTGAATTTAATGGCGGGAAGCTATGGGGAGATGCACTTCTGTTTTTTACGGGTGCCTTTTATGCCTGCATATGTTTTTGTGTGCCTGCGGGTCTGCTGAAGTCTTCATTCTGTGCCTGTGTGAAGCATGTGTGTAGGGGGCAGAGGGGGAGAGGCCCTGCCCCACCCACGTGGCCCCCGGGTTCTTTTAACTGCAACCTCAGCTTCCATCGCCCACGCTCACAACATGACCGATGAGCCTGACGCCTGACCGAGAGCAGATAATGTCATACACTTCAGGCATAATCCACCTACTTAGAGCCTCCCAGCAGGAGTTATTTAAATCAGGTTAACTTTTCAGTCTTTCAGCCTTACATTCTAGAAATTGTTTTCCCATATGAGGCCTTAAAACTGCATATTAAAGGAAACACACTCACACACCTTAAAGGAGCCTTGAGCTCATTTCAAGTCCTTTCCAGGAATAAAGCTTTTATTTGTTTAAACCCTTCTGCTCAGAAACACGCTTAGAGTCCACTGCATTGTCCAGTCCGCATAGCTAACGAGACCATATTTTTGGTTTAGTCATGATTGCAGTGTACATTCCTGAAAATGCCAGCTATGCTTCATATTTAAACCCAGTGGTGTGTGCTTTGGCAAGCTGTTGGCCTAGTAAAGCTTTCTACAGTGAGTTAAACAAGCTTAATCTTAGTTTTATACTAGTATTTGCATGTAATATCAAAGTTTATGCCCTATCATTTAATTTAGTTAGGATAAGCATAACTTAAAGGTTTTCCAGTATATATAAGAGATTACTAGCATTTCCTGCTTATTGGCATTGCTTTAAGCTGCTGAGCAGAAATACCTTTTAAACCAGCTAGTGTAAATATTATGTACTTTAAAATATATAACCGTATAGGGCCCGATATGGTTCATGTTGAAATGGGCCAATTTTTCGCCTATTTAGAATGGTTACTTTATAACTTCAGGTGTAAAAGTCAAAGACACACGTTCAGTACCTAAAATCAAAGTTGACCACTGTACTAGTAACTTCAGTAACTTGCACAATTGATATTCATAACTTCTGTATATGGATGGGAGAATTTTTTTTAGAAAAATTAAAGGAGCAACAGTAGAGTAATGGATTTTGAATTTTTGGTGGAATATACCTGTGGCCTGTGTGTTCGAGAGCCCTTCCCTCCTCAGCTACCTTCCAGTTGAACATTTAAAGTGCTGTGTCTGGTAATCTGTTTATTTGGGTTTACAACTGCCATTGACTCTTTTTTTTTACCAGCAGTTACAGCATATCCTGTGCAAAATGTTTGTTTTTATAGAAATCATCAGGCGGTTGTCACTCTAAGCTCTGGACTACCCAAATGGGAGTGTGAAAATAGTGGCTCACCTTTGTTCGGACATAAAAAGGAAGCTTGTGCTCAGTGGCTGCGATGACGAAATGTATTTTTGCCGTTTGTGGGGCTGGCCGTTCTAAGCGCCACATGCCCAACGTTGAACTTGGACAGGAATAAATGGCAAGTAAGACCTGAATCCAAAAGCTGGGACAGCATTTGAAAAAGACCCTTTATACATCGTCCATGTGTGTAATGGGACTGTAATGTGATTGCGATGCTCCGTTTCTTTCCCAAAACCAATATTTTTACCCAAGGACAACTTTCGTTTTATAGCAACCAAAGAACATGAGAAGAAAACATCTTGGGAAAGATAAACAAATTCTCCAACACAGAAGGACCTTCTACTGCAACTAAGTAACATAAAGTCTAGAATTAAATGTGAGATGATCAAACAAAAAAACTGAATCTTATGTAGCCACTTATTGAGATATGAACTTGATATATACTGTAAATATGTCTGATATGAAAAGCCTTCAAAGACTCTATGCAAGGTATGGTCCTTCATGAAACCATCATTGTCTCTAGTTATTTGCTCAGTGCTTCTTATAGAAAAAATTAACAAGAAATTTCAGATTGTAGTAGCAGCCCTGTTACTTCCCCATTTTCCTTTGCTATATTGCACTTTACAGTACTATGTAATTGGAAACAATATCACACTTTCAGTTTATTTGATGTACGCCTAAAGTTTACCTATCCTGTGCAAGTGACATCGTTGCTGTATTTCTGAAATTATATGCATTTGTTTGAGATGGGAAATATGTTAAGGCAATTGTATAGCTTCTGCTGATTATGCAATAACCAGAACTGCAATGATTCAGAGCAGTGTAACTCAGTTTCAAAAGCAAGGTCTGTCAATCCCACTGCACCTCACCAGATCACCACTGAGTAAATTACTCGATTTTCTGCACATGGACTACGTCGGTTATGGTCAGTCACCACTAGGTATGGTCATTGTATTAAAGATATACCTGCAGTGATTTCTGGCACATAAGCTTTATGGCTTATGTGCCAGACATTGAGTTCAGTACAATGGTTAAGTTGTAAGTAATCATGTATGTATAATACCCCTAGATTAAAATATCCCATAAGAATTAATCTAAATTAACTTAAATATTTCTGAATAATTATATCTGCTGGGTATTCTACCCAGATCATGTCTGAGCAACGAATGAGAATGTGAACAGAAGGAAAATTATTCACATGAATTATTGTAATAATGATGTTCCAAGAAGTCGTGTTACAAGCAATAAGGTTCCAAGAAGTACTATTGTGTCCTTCACTGTAGTGGGATTTTTCAATTTAAAGTTCTATTAGCCAGCTGTACAATATATAAGTATATTTGGTAACACTTTACTTAAAGCACCCATGTGTAATGCATTATAGATACCTTCATAATGAATTTTAATGCATTCATAAAGCATTATAAACATGGCTATAACCATTCATAAAAGAGACAACACATATAACCATGATTGTTATGCATTATGAATGCTCTATGAAGCACTCATCTGTAATTCATTATAAATAGCCCATAGTGCATTATAATGGCTTATACTGACTATTATAATGCATTATGAAGGTATCTATAATACATTATAATGACTGCTTTAAGAAAAATGTTACGATATATTTTCACACTGCTTCATTATGCACATATCTGACATTAGTTCTTTGTGCTTTCGATGTGCTAATGGCAAATGTCAATAATTTTCTGTAATATTGTTTCATCAAATCATGGTCAGTTGTCATCTTACCATCTGAGCTAAAAACAAACAAATTAGCACGATACAAAGTGAGCGAGATTACACTGCAACAAATACGGTCAAAACAAAGCAACTTGTTTTCTGTGTAATTGAATATTGGACGGAATGAAAACGGATACTTGTCAGATTGTAATGTCCGCAACCATTAAAGATTTATGAATGCTTTTTATAGGTTAATCAGGGTGAATTCTTTTCATGATTACACAGACTTCTGGTTGCATCTTTATTTATGTGCTTGGAAAGCGGAGCGTGTCAAAGGAACTTGCGGCAAAGCCTAACTGAGTTCCTTTATTGTACCACTGACGCATGATTTATAAAGAAACCAAACATAAATATGTATTAGAAATGGAGAATTCCATTTAAATCTATTCCTTCAAGTTTTCGGTCTGTAACTCGAAGGTGTTCTGCAGTCTTTTCATTTAAAAAACCAACGTTTTATGTCCTTCAAGGAACATTGAGAGGTTAATGATTGCTCTGTCAAGTCCAGTGTATGGATTTCCATTGCTCGTTTAACTGCTAGCAACCATTGTTTGAGAGAGCGAGAGAGAGAGAAATCTGGTGATATATGCACAGCAATTACAGTATGTGCTTGTGTGGAATTGAAGCCTGTACAGTACACTCACCAGGCCCCATGACTGACAGACACTAATGCAGGTGCTCATATTTACTTAAGGCACTGTAGAATAGTATATTTTGAAATTTTTATTCTTAATTCTTTAAATAATGAAATATGCATGAGTAGAGTTGAACGTGTGACAGAATTCGGGGGCCGCTGTCTTACTGTTAAGGTCAGAAGTAATAAATAGCACAACATGTGTATGAATACGTTGAACATGAATTGGTAAGTGTTGACTGGACCTCTGCAGTTTAATACTTGCATGGTGACAGTTTTACATGTAATTATGCACATGCCCTTAGAGTAGAAAATAATTACAATAACCTCCTGGTGTGTTTGTATGGATTAGGGTTCTTTTATAGGGAAACATACACATATAACTTTGAAGAGTTTCCTAAATCGTAGAATGTCAAACTGCTATTCAAACTTTGCATTTGCAGTTCTGTTTTTGGGTGGGATTCATCTCTGATATTGCTATTTTCATTTTTCAGGGCGAGAAAGGAAGTCTTGGGTTTCCGGGGGCAGAGGGACCGAGAGGAATTTCGGTGAGTCCGCATCCAGAAACTTCCTGCCTTTGCAATAAAGGTCCCGTTTAAAATTGCATTAATTAAATGTTAGTGATGATCCTCTGTCTCTTGTTGGGATTTTTTTCAGTGCGTGGTTTCAAAAAGAGGGGTGGCACGGAGGTGCAGTGGTCGCCTCACCCCTCTGGGACCCAGGTTCGAGTCTCCACCCGGGTTCCATGTGTGTGCGCATGTTCTCCCTGTGTTGTTGTGCGGTTTCCTCTGGATTCTATGGTTTCCCCCCAGAGTCGAAAAACATGCTGAGGCTAATCTATATAATAATGTGATTCACATTGCCTGTAGGTGTGTATGTGTGAGTGACTGGTGTTTGACTGTGCCCTGCGACGGGTTGGCGCCCTGTTCTTGGTTGTTCCCTGTCTTGCACCTGTACTCTCTGGGATGGGCTTTCACACCCCCTTGCAACCCTGAATGGCAGATGGGCAGATTCAGAAAATTGATGGATGGATGGGTTTCAAAGAGAATGTGATTTTGAGCCCCTATTGGTTCTACACCTGTCACAGATGCTCTATTCCTGGTATTCATTCTACCCTTATTTATATAAACATAACATGACCCGTGCGCTTGGGGTATGTAGGACATACCAAATAGAACTGTCATATACTTGCTTGCATGAATTCCATTATGTTCTTTGAGGAACATTCACCAAATAACACAATTTGTTTTATATTTAACAATTCAATATAGTTTGTATAGGTTTATATATTATCTTACTTCTAAGTCTCTCTTTGTTTTCGAGAAACAATCACATTAAAGCTCAGCATAAACTTATTATTTTAATGTTTGCCTTTTACATTAGAGGAAATTAAAGGAAAAAACTTACCATCTGGTTACATTTGATTTGATTTATGGGGCTGTTTACTCACAAGAAATCATTTATAAATCTTTTCATGCAAATGAGCTTTACTGTATGTTACATGGAACCATCTACAGAATCATGACAAATGGTAGCCTACTGTGTTGGTTGAAGGCATCCGCAGAAATCAGGCTTTCAGTCATTATGAGAAAATAACAGCTTGTTGCTTTCCCGTTTTTTTCCCCCGCATAACGAGAAAGCTGTAAAATCCATAGGTTGCATTTGTTTATTTTGCGTTGCTATAAAGCCACATGAGAGGAAGAGGGACCTTTTAACTGAAAATAGTGTATCCACATGGTGGTGGTGTTTCTCCAAATGTGAACCACAAACGGTGCTGCTTCAAATACAGTGTGTACCAGACTAGCCCTCAGTCCTGTTCCCTTCCACGGATGCAGCCAAAAGGCAAACACAGTGTGGATGTCTGTGTGTGTGTGTGTGTGTTTGTATTTATAACATTGTGGGGACCCAGTTTCCCCACCGTGTGATAAAAACCTGTAACTTTTTACCTTGCGGAGACATTTTTTCGGTCCCCAAGGGATAATCTCAGTTTAATAAGAATCTGTGAAAATCAAAAAAAAAAAAGTGCAATCAAAAAACTAAAAATGCCAAAGTCTTGTATTTTGATTGGTTACTTATGGTTAAGGTTAGGGCTGAATGGGGGTTAAGATCGTCATAGTTGGGAATACGGTTATGTTCATAGAAATGAATGGAGAGATATGAATACATGAACTGTGCACAAGTGTACGTGTGTGTGTGTGTGTGTGTGTGTGTGCGTGCGTGCATGCACATTTAAACAGACTGGGATTACATGGTAGCACAAGACAAAACACCAAAGTATTATGGGTACTGAATAAATCATTCCCCATTCTGTCGATGTTTTGACCTTTTATTCTATTAATATTATTACTATTATTCTATTAATAGTACATGTTTCTAGGTTAGGGCTGGTCTACAAAGCTCATTATGACAGGGAAGTAGATCATACAGGACTTATTTGGAGCAACAGATTTTAAATAATTTTTTTCCCTCCTCAAACAGATGTCAGTAACATCACAAGGGTTTGGACCTGGTCCATCCCTTTTTACTCCAGTGGTTACAACCGATATTTGTAAATCCAAGATGACGTGGATGTGGGATGAAGGACGTCTGTGCTACAAGATGGCATGGCACAAAATAAGTGTTCAGTTTCACCAAACTGCTTAAAACAGCTGGAAGTGGAGTAGTTAAGGACCCGAATCTGGGAATTATAGACTGCTGACTCAACTGAAGTCCGGTGAAGGTCCTAAGCCCTCAAGCTAAGCATCCTGATACAATAATGTTCTTGATAAAGCTTGACTGATAAGGCAGGAAATAATCAGATGAGGAAGATGACAAACAACACAGTGCGTGTGTTTTCGACACATTGTTGGGCAAAAGGCAATTTATAAAAACACTGATTAACATGAAAACCGTCGGCACATTAGACGTATCTCAAAATGCATAAACCCTCAACAATCTGTTGATGAGATTAAATCGCACTAATTATAGCATTCTTAATCAGTCCTGAGTCTTTTAGTTATTCATTAAATTATGTTAACTAATTTGGTTTTATGTGGTTCTGTTTTAACAAAGAGAAAGTGCTTACCCTGCACCAACTTGATACAGGTCACGTTATTAGACTGAGATATTCTAGGCTCCCTAGGAATTTAAATGTTTGTAAAATACAAAATATCTCATATAAATGCATATTATCTATAATATAGCTATTCTTCACACTGTTATTATTCGGTAAAGGAGTTGTAGCTAACACTCTTTTTTCCCCGCTTTTCTAATCATTTGAGCATCAGTTTAAAACACCCTCATGCATCACATTAAAAACAACGTCTGGGTCAAGCTCAGAGCAGAACATTTTTCCCAGAGAGATGTCATTATCCGATTGCTGGGGGAAGTCCTGCATCAATAAGCATGCAGACTGAACATTTCAGTTTGAGGGGAACGTCGGCTACGTGCATGCGTTCAGAACCGACGGATACTGACCTAGGGTTCTATCACCGGGATCTCCGAAAGGGGAACTCCTTCTTGACATGCAGATCAAAGAGGTGACCTCCTGCCCTGCCCCTTCTGCCCTCTGCATAAGAGGGAATGAGGGCAGTCTCAGTATCCCTTGATTGCCCTGCTAATCTCATCAGAGACATAATCTGTTTTTAGTCAGGATGTGAGCTGTGTTTGGAGCATGATCAACAGGGGCTGGATGTGAGGCTGTTTACAGTCACGTTCTTGATGGATAAGCCCTCCATCTGTTGTTACGGCCATCAGCGGAAGCTGCTTTGCAGCCCCGAGCCGGTGTGTGCTGCTGCATGTATCGAAAGATTGGCTGCTGGCGGCAGGGATCATCTCTGAAAACAATCTTCACTGGACACAAGAGGGATATTGTTCTTTGTGTCATCTTGCCGGTTCATTGATACTCCGAGGAGGGCACAGCTGCACCTTTTGTTCCGTTTTAGTTACCAGAAACAAAAACAGGCAGCTATCAACTTTGGAATAAACCAGAGTGTGCTCCGACTAATGCTGATGAAGTTGTTCATTCTCAGGCTGCCTGCCTGGGATAGATATGTGAAATTTTCCAGAACATAATCACACCGTGACTAGTGCAGGCGTATCAGCCCATCCTTTTTTGTTGTAGTCCTCCCACACGATTGCGCAAAACTCTCTGAGGAAGTCGAGGTTAATTTTTTTTTACTAGTATGTCTGGCCAAAAGAACACGGATACCTTATTCATCCTTGTGGGGAAATTCTCTTTTCACCTACCCCATTTTGCTCTCCAAGAGGCACACAGGCAGGTTTGGGGGAGCCTACACAGTGTCAGCCAGAATGCAACAATTGGAGGTTAGGGGCCCCCCTCAAGGGCCCAACAGCAATGTCACTCTGCTGGCCTCGAGATTCAAACCGACAACCTTCTGATCACAGGGATGGAATCCCACCCCACTAGGTCATACCCCACCCGCAGAACTGAAAAGATAACATCACATGTCCCTCCTAACTTAAAAATGGAAGGACGACTCGTTATAACAACATTGAACTGGTTGGGTGCACTTTTTAAAGGGCAAATTGTCCTGAATGGCAATTAGCTTATGGCTAGTCTTTACTTTGAGTCTCTGTTGCTGCTACTGCCCATGTATCCTGTGCCAACTTAACATGGCAGTGTTTTTTTAAAATGTACATATCGGTTAATGATATACCATATGGTCTATTTCAATGCTTTATGTAAGAAAGGCCCACTGACACGCTGCAGTGCTAGCAGGATAATGTAAGTCTCCTTCTGAAATACTGAATTTAGGTTTCAGATTTAAATTGGAAGGGAATGAATTGAGAATAAGAGATGGCCTTATGAAATTGATATTCCAACGGAGGAAACAGCTTCAGAGGGACAAGAGGTAGCAAGTTAGATGGAGATTGGTATCCTGAAAATTGCTGGCTCAAGACCCGGGAGGAATCTTACCTCAGTACCTTTAAGGGACTTGTGTCCTTCAGTCTAATTAAAGCCTGTCCTGTTCATATCTAACTAAAGAAGCCGGACTTAAAGGGGGCTTCAGCCTGAGCTGCCAGAATGATCTTCAACATTACATGTGAGCAGCTGTTCAACAAATGAGAATCTGCTTTTGCAGGTGGCATGCAAGGTGTTTGCTGGAAATCATATTCCGGTCCTGTATAAATAATACCAGAGCTGAAGGCGTCCATTATAATATTTAGGAGAGGTCAGAAAATGCGACATTATTTTAAATGCATGCCCTATGTATTCAGGTTCTTTTTCAGAAATTTATAGTTAAGATAAAAATAATTTAAATTATGAACCATTTTGATACGAGCAATTGTAGAGAACAACTGTCTTCTGGTGTTTTTTCCATCTTTCGTTTTTTCCTGTGTTCATTGCCACACATTTGTTAAATGCCTTTGGGCAACTGTGTTGAGAAAGGCACTAAATAAATATGAACTGAAAAAAAATCTAATGTAGTGGGGAATTATGGAAGTTTATTTCCAGCTTTCTCTGTTAGTTGGAAAGCCTCACCCAGAAGTTCTTAGCTCATGACCAGAGGCAGGTTTGTTATTTCTGGGGCCCCACCGAAAAGTTGTTTTGGGGCCCCCATAGTGTAGTGACTGTTTGTGGTCCCAAACCTTGGGGGCCCCACACAAATGTGTGGTTTAATTGATGGAAAATACCGCCGCTGTTTTAGAGGCTGCATTTGACGCTTTTGTGATCCATCGTTTCAGGGGCTACAGGGCATTCCTGGAGATGCAGGTCCAGTGGGGCCCCGGGTAAGTTTTTCATCCTCTATCTCTCCATCGTGTCAATTGCCTGCCGCAAATCTCTCACTCTGTTTGCTGATCATGCATTTGTACTCGATGCATCCTTGGATTTGACATTTATTCAACCTTTTACAAGTGTGTATCTCCAGATACTGTAAGAGGCAGGTAAATGAAAGAATATCAATGTAAATGCGAATGAAAAAAACAGCATGTTTTTGGTATTCCTCTGGAGTTAGGGTGCAGATTTAATCAGGATCTGTGTGTCCTTCATAACAGGGGGAACAGGGCTTGCCTGGGCTGAAGGGACAGATGGGACCAAAAGGACCTCTTGTAGGTGGCCTGGTATTTTGTAATGCTTCGAAACCTATGGTTCTCAATCCTTTTCCTGGACGATTCCTGCCATGTTTTCATTCCAGTCCACACTGCTTTCAACCTGCCACATTCATTATTAGCCTATTAAGGAGCATCTGAGCCTGATTAAGGTAGGGCTGGAATGAAAACTGGATCGACACCCACTTCTAAACGATATCCACACAACCTCTTGAGGCCCTGCACAGTTATGAACAAAACAAAAAGCTTACATAAATTAAAACATTTTTCCTGCATCACTGCAGTTTCCAAATTATTTTCTAGATGTTTGTAAAATGAGTAAATAATATCTTGAGGAATATTTTTTTTGTTTCAGTAGGATCTGTTACATGTTTTATTATATTACTCTCAGAGGTGGAAAGTTCAGGTCCTGAAAGTATAAATTCAGGCCAAGATTTTTTTTCATTTTTATTCTTGCATTTTACTTTAATTGTGTCATAATAAAATAGTTATATTTGTACGTATTGGAACCTTTTTAGCTTGACAAAACATTAGTAGCATCTAGTTATGGTTGTGCCTATTCCGTGTTAGTGGTTGATCACTTGTTAGGACTTGATGTTCAGTTGTTCAGTTGCTGCCCTCTTGTGGAATACTCAAGGGCTACGATGGTGTCTGGAAAGGGTTTCTCAACCCAGTCCTCAAGGACCCCCCAGACGGTCCACATTTTTGCTCCCTCCCAGCTCCCAGCTCCCAGTATTCTTCATCGATTGGTTTGTTCAAGATTGTTTGGTTCAGGTGTACTGGCAGCTGGGAAAGAACCAAAATGTGAACCGTCTAGGGGTCCCCGAGGACTGGGTTGAGGAACACTGGTTTGAATATTGCAGTTACTGCTGATCTTCTGTACTACCGATTAATTAGACTTTGGCCGCCAACATTGTACTGTACACTCAGAATTTTGTACTGTACACTCAGAATTAGAATTGAGCCCAATGCCTAGTTATTGACTATAGTTCTTATAATGCTTATAATTGTTCCCAGTACCACTTTGCAATTAGTTTCTTCTGTCTACAGGGGATACAGGGTCCTATGGGTCCACCTGGACATGATGGACATGATGGTTCAAAGGTGTGTTGGTTTTACCCCCAAACTGCGATCATGCTTTTCCTATACATATCACCACGGTCATAATTTCTGTCCCCACTGTTACTTTCAATCTCCAGCACCTCAGTTTTCCTCTTTATTGTTATTAAACGAGGCCAATTAAGAGTGGACATTTGCGGCCGCTTCTAAAAATGAATAAATGAGGGAGAACACATTTAGTTGCGTATTAGCATGAAGTTGTAGAGTTTGGGTCCGGCTCATTTCCTCAGATTTCTGTTCACGGGGGACCTTTCCCTTGAATCTTGTTTATGTGTCTGTGCATGTGGTAATGTTGAAATCCACCGATTTCAGAACTCGGTCAGTTGACTTCAGTTGTTCCTTTCCCTGCTTAGGGGAATTCTGGGAATCCAGGAATTGCAGGTTTCCCCGGAGCTCCGGGACCAAAGGTTAGAACCTGAAATGACTTACTATCCCAATAATACACATTCTGCACCTATATCTTATTCCTAAGAAAGCAAATCTTTGTGCTCTGTTGTTTTTATTGTAAGTAACCTTACTCTATTCATGCCTCATCCACTTCTAAGTTTTAAACAATGACTTCCTGAGTATGTAGTTATCAAGGATTCAGAAATTTTTCATCTTTATCTGAAATCTTTCTTATTTGCTCACTTGAATATGCAGCTGTGCGGTGTCTCTACATTGAGATACAAGATATTTCTGCTACTGTTACTGAACTGCACCTTTGCTGAATCGATTCGTTTTAATTAAATTCATTTTATTCTCACATACAAAGTTTCGACTGTGTTTCTCAGTCTGAAATAATGAGGTTTACAGATATAGATTCTGGTAGAAGTCATGAATAAGGTCAGAGGAAATTCATCTACAAACAATGAATTGAAGGTACGACATCTTCATGCTGCATTTGCCTCATGTTTGAAGCATCATCACAATGCTCCTCAAAGTAACAAGCGTAGCACAGACTATAGCTGTGCCTCAAAAAATAAAAGACTTTCCTGTAGACAGTCTGCTAGGGAGTGCATTTATTATCTAAGCAATAGGAAGTGATACACAGCAAATGGGAGCAGTTATTATCTGAGAACCTCATTAAAAGAATCTGGAAAATGAGTGCTTTCCGCAATATGCAGAATGTTTATGACTGAGCACGTAGAGGATACTGAGGTAAGGGGGTCTGGCTAAGGAAATCATGCCAGATTTTCTTCTCTATACTCCTTCACTCCTCCATAGGACACCTCTCTGGTGATAAACCCCGGTGATACCTATTCTCTTTGTTTTGGCAGGGTTTGCCAGGGGAGCCGGGGCCAAATGGGTTACCAGGGTCCTTGGGGATGCCAGGGTTTAAAGGGCACAAGGTAACATCCTTGGTGATGGAATAATCATCGTGCTGACATAATCGGCAGGCCTGCTATTACACTTCAGACCTTGTAGCCATTAGCATTATATGCTTTTAATGAATGTTTTATACATGGTGGACCAGGAGTAGTTGTACAGTGTGTATTTTATTAAGTAATTGTTCTGTTTTGCAAAGTCAAGTTTTTATTTTACAAAGTTATTTTTAGAAGTAGGTATACGGATTTCATTTTACTATACTGACTGGGTCATTATTAGTCTCTTAAGTGTTCGAAATGTCCTCCGTCACCTTTGACACATTTTTGAAGCATGTCCCTGACATTGTGGCAAACAGCACACAAATGCTGGTTAGCATCAATGTCCAGAAATGCTAGGGAGGTGAACTCCTTAAATTCATCCAGTGCGTGGGGCTTCCTCTCAAAGAACTTCTCCTTTACCACGGCCCAGAAAAGTCCATGGGTGTCAGGTTGGGTGGCCAGTCAGTGCTGCCACTACACCCAATCCAACGCTGCGGAAAGGTGTTGTCAAAACTGTCTACCTACTAATAACTTTGGAAAATAAAAACTGTACATCTAGTTCTGGCACACCCTGTATAATAATGTAACAATGTCAAGCGTTTAAATTTGCTTGTACTAACATAAAGTGTTTGATTTAAAAAAAATAAACCTAAATCATATTTTAGAATTTGAAAAAAAAAAAAAAACTGCAGTTAATAAGTTCATCAAATTCGAATTACATTCAATAACTGTTTTTTGTTTTATCATGAAAGACACAGTATTAAATCTGTGCTAAAACTGATGAAATTGTTCCAAATCATGTTGACTTGGATGTAAACTAAATAATAATATTTTTTTTAACTAGGGTGAAGAAGGGGCACCTGGTCCTAAAGGCATTAAGGTATTTCCATGAACACCTCTCATAGCTACACGGAGGTGTTATGCGTCCCGGTCTAAGTCGGGAGTGACACATTTAACGCAGCAAGGATAAATAGAGTGGAACGCCACTCAGCCACTCTGGTCATGACAATCACCTTTTATTTGCCTTTTACCGGTATAAATAATGTACAGCACTCTCCTTTCTTTTGTAAATGGAGGGAGACAAACCTGGACAGTGACAACAAACAGAAAATGAAACAAAATGTTACCATAACCTAGCATCAGACAGAAACTTAATAACGAAAAGAGAACAGAAATGCTACTCTGTCTATGTTTAACATAAGTACAATGGGCAGCACCTGCCCCTTTCCTAGTGTATGTAAAGGGGAAACTGTACCAGTCAAAAGTTTGGACACACCATGTCGCCTACAAAGGAGAGTGATAGTGTCGCATAACATGATCTGGCCAATTGACCTAAACACGACATCAATGGTTTTTGAGGAGTTTGACTAGATAGTGAAGGTAAAACAGCCAATGTGTGCTTAGCATATATGTGGGACCTCCTTCAGGGCAGCTGGAGAAGCATCCCAGGAGGCCACCTTATGAAGATGGTGTACTGGGAAAAGTAGGGTCAGCCAGTCCCCGGAGCAATTAGGGTTAAGGACCTTGCTCAAGGGCCCAGTGGTGGGATCACTTTTCCGACCATGGGGTTTGAACCGGCAACCTTCTGAGCCCCAACCTACAGAGCTGCCCCTTTTCAACTAATTTTTTTTGTTTAATACTTTATTGGTCAATGCTTAATTCCATATATGATATTTTATAGTTTTGATGTCTATATAAAATGTAGAGAATAGTACAAATATACCTTTCTATGGGCAAGTGTTTCCAAACTTTTGACTGGTACCATCTGTCCGCACAGCTGTTTATATTCCCCTCCCAAATAAATGCGAATCAAAGAGGCAAATCACAGCAGCCAGAAAGAGAGGCAAGGAGATAAGAGTGCTCACTCTTCCCGACTCTATATAGTTAAGACCCCTCCCACTTAACGAGCACCAGGGGAGTATGATCTGCCATTGCACACAGATCCCTCCCCAGAACCTAGCGGGAAACACACACACACACACACACACACACACACACACACACACACACACACACACAGCGAAACAGACAGCACAAATCAAACACTGCGTGTCCTCACACAGCAGATGCTATGGGTCTCCTGTATGGGATTCAGTTAGATGGATAAGCACTTTATTCGTTCTTCGAATATCTTGTAAACCACAGCCACAATCCTGGAATGAAACCTCTGGATATGTTAGAAAAACAAAGGGTAGAGGATGCACTTTGTGTCCAGGAATTTGGTCTAGATGGCATTCCTGGGTGAGCAGTGGAGATTGCTTCAAGAAAATAGCAGCAGGTTCTGCGAGGTCAGAACGACTGCGGTGCTGTTGCCTGGTTGTGAAAGTTAATTATAGCCATTTGGGCAGCTTACCTCTAATCATCTTCTCCTTCCAGGGTGACAGAGGCAGTGATGGAACTCCAGGGGATCCCGGGCGAGCCGTAAGCACCCCTCCCCTGACAAGGCACTGATGATGGGGCATTTAGTAGCAGTGTCTTTTGAAAGAGTGCTTCCAAACAGAGACAAAGAATTAGAAATCAAGCAATGGTGCCATTTTGAGATGACTTCGAAAAGCTGTCACATGAACTGGGGCAATTTACAATATTGATTCCTGTTCTCAACAGCAACAACATGATCATTCTTCTTTCAGAGAAACCATTTTACTCACCACCAATTTCCGTACACGGGCAAAAAAGCAGTATATGTGTAATCTATTAACCTTTGTGCTATGTCTGTGCTGTTCTATGAAACAATAGCTTGCTTTACTTCGCGTAGGGGACAAAAAATAAACAACTATGGGGTGTCATCACTTAAACTGACCTAGACATTAATATTTCAAGATTATTTATGACTGCCTTCCACTCTTGCAGGGAGAGACCGGACTGAGGGGAAGTAGAGGAGAGGTTTGTTGATTGAACAATTCTAAATAAAAAGACAGTTTGCTAAGAAAAAAAGGTACAGCAACTGTGGGTCATAAACATAAAATCAACCTGCATTGAGAAAAAATAAGAATAGAAATTATGGAAATAGAAATCTATAACAGAAATTATTCACAGTATATATTTAACTATATGCCTTGAATGGGAATTTGTGGCCAACAATGTGGTTTGTATTCCATGTTTGGGGCCTAAACTTCAGTGATGATTACTGCTACAGTTATGGTGCTTATGGTTGTACAGTGTGGTAGAGAGCTGTTATTCTCAGAAAGGCACAGTGGGGGATCCAGGTGCGAGGGGGCCGGATGGAAAAAAGGGAGATATGGGATTGACTGGAGTGACTGGACCACGTGGACCTTCTGGCCAGGATGGGCTACCGGGACAGCCGGGAGTGCCTGGGTATCCAGGGAAACCTGTGAGTGCAATAGCCTTTTCCTTTGGAAGCGGTTACCTGGTAACCGTATGCTGATGGCCGGTAAGAACATTAAAGTCATTAAACATTAAGCTTATTTTCCCTTTTCAGGGAAAGCCTCCGTCAGATGAGCATTTGATGAAGATTTGTATTAATGTGCTGCGCAGTAAGTGCCCTGGCTGGAACATCTGAGCAGTTCTCCTTTTTGATTATAGACGGAAAAAGCTGGAAATAGTGTCAAAAACACGAGTCGCCATGTTAAGATTGGTGTAGGACATCGCCAAAGTCAACATTGCTAAAACTGACCTACGCTAGATATGATTTAGTGAGCATTTGGAGTCTTGGCTGGTATTATAATTTGGTTTTTATCATCATGATATATACTCAAAAGATTCTGAGACACTTACAGTACTCCTGTAGCCATGAGGGTAAGTAGCACTACAACCAGCACTTTGCATAAATGGTCCCCTGAAGAATAACTACCATAATCAAGCTCTTATGGTATTTTGACCCCTGAATGCAATGTCATTTTACCATTTCAGGCAAATGTTGGGAAATCTGCAGTATTAACAAAAGAATTCCTTGGATATACATACACAGCCCTTGCATTACTGAGATGTGACTCATTAGTTGTGTTGGTGTCTCATCTGGGAGTACAGAGAACATTACTAGAAAATCATTGCTCCAGATTTGCATTCAGTGTTGTTAGTGGTTAGTGAGTCCAAGGAGAGAGGGGGGTAAAACTCTATTAAATTTTTAATATTGTCCTAAATATATATTTAAATTTTAATAAACTTGTGAAATTAAGCACTGGTGTTACATCTCTGTTTGCTAGATCAGCTGCCTCAGCTGCTGCAGACGATGGTGCAGCAGGACTGCGGGCCTTGTGAAATGACACGGGGGGCCCCAGGTGAGCCGGGGCCCCCCGGTCCTCAGGGCCCCGTGGGGCCCCCTGGCTATCCTGGCCGGACAGGCGCTCAGGGTTATCCTGGGCCACCGGGCATGCAAGGACCCCAGGGTATTAAAGGTAACACATTCATTAAAGGGAGGCAAGGACTGGACGCCTGTTTGTACATGAACTGACACTTGGTCCTCGTTTACAGGAGAGACCGGATCAAAAGGCTTCAAGGGGTCTAAGGGCGAAGGGCACGTTGGATTACCAGGTCCACCTGGGCCATTAGGTGGGCAATAATGATTCAACTTTTACATGTGATTAGGGCCACACAAATGACCCCAAAAATGGCTGAGGCCCTGCATTGTGAAACAAGGTATTTTCAGGTTCCAACATCCATGAATGGATTGGCTTATAATTTAATCATGAATATTCCATAGTCCTGTGACCCTGAATAGGATGGATGGATATTCCATAGTAATTTTTTCCAACACTATTACATTTTCATGACATTTTAGAACTTGTGGAAAGAAGTTTATAGAAAACTAATTGCAAACTAAATTTACTACTAGGTATATTCACATCAGTAACAATATTTCCATATCCCTGTATCTGTGCCAGATTCATCACTCCAGAAAATTGTCAGATTTTGTATTTGGATATTAAAACTATGTAGCTTTCATACCAGTGATATCTTGATTTTTTGGTCTTCATGATGTTAGGTCTCCAGGGTCCTCCTGGCCAAGATGGCGAGGGACTTGCTGGGTCTCCAGGCCTCCCAGGCCAGGCTGCCCCCCCCGGCATCCCAGGAAAGCGGGGGGCGCCTGGTCCACCCGGAGTGTGCGACATGTCCTTGTGTTACCAGGTTTACAGCTCCAGGGAAAACCGCTTCAGTAAAGGACCCAACTTTTAGTGCATGCAGAACCAGAAAGAGCATGCTGACTGGTCCTAGAAGCTACTTAACCGTTGGATTAAAGTGAAGATAATATGAGTCATAGCTATCCGTCATAAATGGATAAGTTTATTGTATTGAAAACCTGCTGTTGATGAGGGTCAAAGTACTAAGGAAACCTAAACGGCTTAAGTCATGTACAGAGTTGTGCACTAATTGGAACACTGCTGCAGGTGAGCTACCTACTTGCTAGAACATCTAAGGCATTTACTGTACCTGCAGAATCTATTCTAGATTACTTGTGAGTAAGAGTCCATCCTCCCTCAAGTGAAGTGAGTGCATTTTACTATTTGCTCTCTTTCTGATTTTTTTGGCTTTTGGTCGATTTTAAAAAATACTGCCAGTATACAAGTGACAAGTTATTGAAGTTACAATGACTTAAAATTAGTACTGATATGGGTAGACTTCAGATCTTAGAGTTTATGTACGTAAATATCACGTTTAGAATAATTAACTCTTTTCAACATATTTTGTATTTACTCGATGCGATTTCATGCATAGGTGAGATTCAAGTTTATTCTCAGGTATTATGATATCAAACATGAGCTAAAAATGATCTGTCTCTGGGGTAGAAGTGTACCTTTGATATTTTTTGATAATTTGAACACTGTATAGTCCCTTTACGAAACCACGTGCCCTTAATGTAAACCCCCTGCTGTACTCTACAGTTCCTCTCTTCTTTTGTCTGTCATAAAACAACAAGAGATACTTTCACTGGTGTGAAGCATTTAAGAGTGTACTTTGCATTAGCGGCATTAGCTGGTAAGACAAACTCATACCACCAAATAGGATTTCGATTTAATCTGTGTGCCTCTGTTCCGTAGCAACGCAGCTGGCAAATTATTACAAAACAAAATGCATCAAGGTTAGTCTTGTACTCGAAAAGGGCAGCATTGTTTTTCAAATATCTTGAAGTTTAATAGTATTTTTTTTTATTACATCAAGCTATGGAGCTGAAGATACATTTAAAAAGATTAGTAGTAAGACTATTGCTTTGTATATTACTACAGATCAAGGTAATATTTAGACACAAAACTGTAAATTTAGTTAAAATATATTATTTACTAAAACATTATCGACATCAGTAAGATAGAAAATGCTCCAGTACTCCAGCTTTTGTATATTGTTCAAAATAAACTGACACCTGCACATTCACCTTTTAAAATGTGAATTTCAGTCATAAAGTACATAATTTCCTATAAAATGCACAATGTAATTGTATGAATTTTTGTTATTTCATATTATGGCGCAGTCGGAACGATGTCAATCAGATGTTTATTTAATATCTACATTCTGATAACCAGGTTATAAAATACTACTACATAAGTGATTAACATAATGGTACAATTGTCTTGATGAACCCATAAACTGCTATTCATGTCATTGGGGAAGTGGGTGAAATGAGCAATACTGTACCAGGCTTTGTTCTTCATTTGTGAGGATCTTTTTGTGAGTAACCAGATTGTTTTGAAATGCTCATTGTCACTTCAGTGCAGTTGTAAAGAACAATATAAAATTTCTTATAAATATATACTGTAGTGGGGAATTCTGATTTTTTTTGTGAGGAATCGTAACAGAGGAAAAGGTGTCCTGGTGATCCATGATAGAAAAAGAATCCTTTGAAACATCAGGATTGGACCTCAGAGGCAGTCTAGCTTGGCCCGGTGTTTCCCAATCAGGTCTGCAAGGACCCACAGCCGGTCCACATTTTTGCTCCCTCTGAGCCTCTGCCAGGCAGTTCACATTTTTTCTCCCTCCCAGCTAGCAAAAATGTAGGCTGTCTGTGGGTCCCCAAGGACCAGATTGGGAAACACTGGCTTGGCCTACCTAAATTAAAATCTGGGCTGTCAAACTCTGCTCCTTGTACCTTACACATTACACTGGCCTAAGTGATAGTCTGTCTAGAGATCAAAATTAAATTGAACAATACCCCGGACACATTAATGAGGTATTGCTAAGGCTGAATAATATTCTGGGAAATACAGGGAAAGTATGGATGTTTCTGGGGGGTGGGGGGGATCTGAGGAACTAGCCCCTGTGTACAGCTGTAACCTGCTGTATTAAGAATAAGACACGTTTCCTGTGTATTTGAGAGAGGAAAGATTGTTTGCAATACAAAACCTCATGTGACTTTGGAGGGCCGCACCTTAAAGTTAAAGGGTGAATGTTTTTTAGATATTGTTCAGATTTCTTAACCAAAGGGTCCCAAAAGGGTCAATAAAAACTCCTTAATCCACCTTCTAGTCCAATGCCCTGTGGATCTCTTTGCCAGTCAGAAGAACCACAGGTTATTCCACACACTTTTACTGAAACTACTTGTGACCAAACTCAGGATAAACAGCTGGAAGATGAATAGATGGATATTGATTTTGCCCTGGGGTGGCACAGCGCTTAGCAATGGTGCCTCATACCTCTGGGATTGGGGTTCAAGTGTCCGCCAGGGTTCTAGGTGCATGGGCTGTGCTTGTTCTCCCTGTGTCATTGTGCGGTTTCCTCTAGGTATGATTTCCCCCCACAGTCCAAAAACATACTGAGGTTAATTGGAGTTACCCATGGAATTGCCCATAGGTGTGCAATTCCACCTATTGCCCATAGGTGTGTGTGTGTGCGTGAAAGGTGTGTGATTGGGTTGGCGCCCCATCCTGGGCTGTTCCCTGCCTTGCCCCCGTATCAGACAATGTGGTGTGGACAGTCAGTAATACATAACTATCGTATGGAAGTCTGATATGATGTGTCATCTGCTACATTCCCTGGTTTGTAGTAACGAAATACAGTAAGGGTAGGTTGAGTGTCCTGCAGGACAAACTCATGGAACCAGAATGCAAATGTCTGAAAATTTTGCTGGTGCCACAGGGAACTTGGGAAAATAAGAAGATTAAATGTGTTGCTAATATCTTGGCCTCCCTGGAGTATTTGATGATTACTTAAACAAGA